TAATTAGTATTTGTGGTAGCAGGTTAGCTGTCATTTTTAGCAAATTATCAATTAATGGTTGTTAAGAGATTTACCTGTAATTACCTAATAAGCGACATCATTGTGTAAATATATTAAACTATCCGTGCATAGAGCTTAAACTCGATACTAACATGTGAGGGCATTCTGAAAATGGGAATTTAATGTACCAAAAGGCCGAAATGCTGGTACACCTATCTGTATTGGGGAAAATAAATTTTATACGTGGAATTAATTATGTGGCTGACATGGCAAGACACGTGAATCATTAGAAAAGTGACATCTGGAGAAGAGTACTTAAAGAGATGCGAGTCTTAATATGTACGAGCAAAACGTCTAAAAGACAAGAAGAAACGGTTGCTCGAGTCTCTTCGTAATTTGAAAAGACACCAGTGGAGTATGGCTGTCCAACGGGATGGGCCGGCCCGTCCCGCGACCCGTCCCGGTCCCGTCCCGTCCCGTCCCGTCCCGCTAAAAATTCAACGGGATGGGCCAATGTTACGCGGGACACGGGACGGGACGGGACACCCGTTTCATCCCGTTTGTCCCGTCCCGTTTCGTCCCGTCCCGTCCCGCGTCCCTTCCCGTCCCGTCCCGCGTCCCGTCCCGTCCCGCGTCCCGTCCCGTCCCGCCTGTTTTTTTTTTATTTAAAAAGTAGCCGTTGGCCAACGGCTTAAATTGATAAAATGGCCGTTGCCAACGGTCCAAAAGCCCCCCACACCCCCCAAAACACCCCCCCCCCCCCTCCCAAACTTTTAATATAACCCCTAACTTTAATATTTGTCACTTTGGCCCTATTTTCTACTATAAATACCCCCCATTCTTCTTCATTTTTTCCCACAAAAAATCAATCTTCTCTCTCAAATCTCTTACATTCTAATATTCTATATTATTCTCTCAATATTGTTACTATCAAGTGATATCTTTCAACTTTCAAGTATTTGGGCAAATTTTTTGGAGCAACTTTCAAGCTTCAAATTAATTTGTCAAGTATTTGGAGCAATATTTCGGGCAATTTCTTCAAGTTTCAATACTTAATCACGGTGCACTCGTTCCATCTCCTAATTTTAATATATAATTTTTGCGTATCATTTTAGTGCTTAATTTTTGTGTTTACTTTACGTGTTATATTTTCGTATTTCATTTTTGTGTGTAATATTTGTGTTAGCTTTTTAAATTTAGTTTCGTATTTAAAAAATGGCACCTAAAAATGTATTTGGTATGTTTAAAAAAAGTAATAAAAAAAGTAGTAAAGGTGAAAGTAGTAGTAATCCTAATCCTAACCCTTCTCCTATAGCCCCTAGTGTTCGAACGAATATTGATGAAATGACTCATGTTGATGAAACTTCATTTTTCCAACCCCCCACATTTTATGATGTTCATGTCGGAGAACAATTAGATCATGAAACTTTACAAAGACAATTTGGCAATGATATATTTTTTGAGGATGAAGAAAATGAGGATGAAGAAAATGAGGAAGAAGAATTAGACGAAACACCCACTAGTCCCGCAACACAAGCTCCAACTCAGAGTCAATCTCAGTCTGGAGCTTTACCCCCTGTACCCCCTGTAAGGGGTAAGACTAAGGTTGAACGTCCCAAAACATCACTTGTGTGGAATTTTTTTAAACATGATAAAGTAAATCATCGTGCTATCTGTGAAAAATGTAAGCAACAATTTGCACACTCATTAAGTGGTGTGACGGGGGGGTTAACTAGACACTTGAGAAGTGCTCACAAAGATTTATGGATAAAAGCTAACATAGAAGCCGGAAAAATTATAGATCCTACCATTAGTACTGGCACTCCTAGTGGATATGGTTCTAACCAAATTCAACAACAACTTGACCCTGCTTCCGGTCATATTTTACCCAAATATAACAAAGATAGAGATCGTGAGAACTTAGCAAAAATGGTGGCGGTCTGTGGCTTACCTTTTACGTTTCCTTCTCACCCTGCTTTTGTGCATTATATTCAAGAAATGTATAACCCTGCTTTTCAAGGTTTTCCCAAGACCACGGTTAGAAATGATGTTTTAAATTTCAG